CCTCCCTGCAAAAGAGCAGTCGGGGTGCCAGTGTGGCAGAGCCCAGCAATCCCTCTTGATTGAAGCTGCCAGCAATCAAATCATCACCACGGAGGCGACAAAGAGTGGCAGGCCTGGCTATGAAGGCCTGAGAGTAAATCAGAGAAGGCCCGGGGTTTGTGGGCTGGATGAGTCAAATGGAAACAGAACTGTGATTTGAAAAAACAAAAAGCACACAAAATGCAGAGTGCGGAAGAAGAACCCCCCCCCCCCGAAGGCCGGTTGCATCAGCGGGCGTCCTTCCACAAAAGGAGGGCAGATGCAACCACTGGGCCGTGTGGAAGACCAGGGCCCCACTTGCTCTGGAAGGAAAAACGGGCCAGGTGCAGATGGGCAGAAAGACCCCTCCCCTCGGGCACCTTGCAGGAGCACAGCTGCCTGACCCTCTGCTCAGGTGTTGCCTCTTCCACCTGTCCCAAGCATGGGAGACGGTTCCTGGAGGGCCAGAGCTGGCGGGGGGAGGGGGGAGACGCAACACTGCCTGCCCTTTGGAGGAGGGGGGCAGCCTTCAGCGGGGACAAAAAAACTAGAAGAGCCTCTGCCCCCCCCCTCCATGGCAGAAGAGGAGGAAAGCAGCTCTTTCAAGAGGACCCTCTGGGGAGGGAGGGAGGGAGGGGGGGGGGTTAGGGACTTTTGGCGGCCTGCCTGGCTTGGGAAGTGCCATTCTGCAGTGGGGCTGGAGGGTCAAAAGGGACCGACAGGCCAAGGGGATGGAAATGGTCACCCAGGGAAGGCCTTGGGGTGGTTTTGTGTTGCTGGTTGTGGCTGCTTCAGGACTTGGAGTGGGAAAGAGGCGGCTCCTGTTTCCTGTGGGTGGTTTGGAAACTCGGCCTGCGGAGGCGGTCACTGTGCAAACGAGAGATATTTTAATGCCAACGCACCAAGATACGCGCGTGCGATGACAGGGAGATGGGGCGAGGGGGCGGGCATAATTGCACATTTCTAAAGATATATTTCTCTCTCCCTCTCTTTTTTTGCCCTTTGCTATTTTAAAGTACACCCTGAAATCTCGAACCTGCTCAAAATCTCCCTTTGGCGCTCTGAGGGTGGCAGGGGGGCCCTTCCCTCCCCCCACCCGCTGCCTCCTCCCAACAGTCCTGTGAGGCAGGCCAGGCTGAAGGGCAACCCCACTTTCAGACTTCCAAGGGGCAAATGGAGTGGAGACCCCTCCCTCTCTCAAACTCCTTCCTATGTTTTATTCTGTTAAAATAAATGCCATTAATATTAAAAAACCCAGTAATTCAAAGACAGGTCTTAAACTCTGCTCCGTCTTCTTCCAAAGACAGGGAGGGGTGGCTGGTTAAAGAAATGGTGAGGCCAACCCCCCCCCTCCCAAAGGAGCAAGGCAGAGACCTCCTCCCTTTGGTGAAGGAAACCTGGCAGCATCCTTGTTTCCACTCACGGACCGATTGTTTCATTGAGGAGGATTTTCCATAACAGCTTCTGAACCTCCATAGCAAGGCTAGGTTTGGGTCTTACGTACAATCACTTCAACAATCCCTTCTACAATTCAAATATATATATTTTTAAAGACCATCAATTTTGTTGGTGCACCAATCGAGCTCCCTAGACCGAACCTCAGCAGTCCAAGAGGAAGCTGAGGAGGAGGAGGAGGAGGAACCTTCGAAGCAGACATCGAAGGAGAAACCCTCTTTTCATAGCCAACCTACCTACAGAAATAACCATAAAGCAGCAAACAGGAGGCTGAGCTGCAGCCACCCGGGAGGCAAAAAGCAAAACCAATTTTGAGAAACGGTCAACCACAGGTTGGCACTGCCACTTTGCTTTGTGGAAGGCACCCTTGGCTCCTTTAATCGGTGCCCAGATCAGGAGGATCTGCTGCAGGCAGCTTTTCACACACTGTCAGAAAGGGATTAGTGAGATTTGGGAGCTCAAGGCACAACCTTCCTGGACCTACCCAGGAGTAGAGACACGATCCTGCTCCCTGCGTTTTCTCCACACACACACACTTACGTGGGAAGTCCTCTGCCACCTCCACACTGAGCAGTTACTCCGGCAAGGAGGGTGCCAAGCCACCAGAATCCACCACCACCCCAGCCCTGATCTTGGGCCGGACAGAAGAGGCCCCCGAGGGGCCGGGCACTCCGCAGCCGCACCTCTTGGCGCAGGGTGTGGCTGAGCGCTGGGCCCAAAGAGGTGGGACCCCGGGGGCAGGAAAGCCCGTTCAGCTTCCCGGAAGGGCCTTGGGGCCCAGCCCCGATCAGCCCCAAAGAAACCAGCCCAGCTGCCAAACTGCAGACCGTAACAGACACAGGCCACAATTTGTGTGTTTGTTTGCTAAGGAAAAGGGATCTTAGCTTCTCAAGTCAATAAAGGCAGCAGATATTGCAAGACCTCTGCGTCAAGGCACGGACACCCCTCCCCCCTGCTCTCACCAGGTCCACCCGCTTGCGACTGGCCTCCAGCTCCCTCTGCGCCAGCTCCCTCATGTCGGCCTTCATCTCCTCCAGCCGCAGCCGGCAGTAGTGGGCGTTCTCCCTCTCGCGTGCTTCGCTTTCCTTCGCCTTCTCCAGCTCCTCTCCCATCCTGATCACGCTGTCCCGGAGACGGAGCACCAGCGCCTGCGGGGGGGGCAGACGGCCACCTCAGGGGAGCTGAGCGACGCCTGTCCAGGGAGCCCCTCCCCCGTATGACCAGCGCCGTACCTCAAACCGCTTGACCTGGATGCTCTGGAACTCCATCTTGTTCTCCAAGTCGCAGATCAGGGCCTCCTGGCGACTGACGATGGAGCGCTCCACCATCGCTTGCTCCAGGTAGGAGAGCCTGGCCTGGGCCGCCTGCAGCTGTTTGCAGAGGAGAAGGGAAGGTGGACCTTGTCCCCCCCCAAACACACTTCTCTGGGTGGGAGGGGTGGCGTGGCAGGGGGGGGTCTTGCAGCAAAGCACCATTAAAAGTGAAAGCCCCATCAATCCGTGGACCAGGACGGAGCAGGCGGGGGCCTCCCCACACCATCGCCACCTGATTTTAGTACCACTGCAGGCTGGCAGCGCCTCTCTCAGAGAGCTGGACAGGCACTGAGGTCCCTGGCTCCAGAAAGGCCTTCCTTCCCCCTGCTGACCTCCTGGCCAGCCCCCCCCCCCAGCCCAGCCAGCATGCAGCCCCTGCTCTTACTCTCTCCTGCAGGGCCTGCTTCCCCTTCTTCACCTCCTCCAGCTGCCCCTGCAGTTCTCGGATCTGGGCGATGTCTGTGGCCGACTGCAGGGAGGAAGAGAAGCCAAGGCCTCAGAGCGGCCCCGGGGGGAAGGCCGGGAGGGGGCAGGTCACAGGCGGGAGCCCCATGACAGGGAGGACGTGCTGCTGACCCTCCGCAAGGGCAGGCAATCTCTCCAGGCACACCTCAGAACACGGTTGCCATAATGGCCACTGACCAGAGAGCTGGCCAGCAACCTCAATCCTGCTTCCCACCGGGATGTTTCCCTCCAGCCTGGCCTTTTCCCTGAGCACTGGGGGGGGGGGAAACGCAGGCAGAGTCTGGCTTTGGAGAAGGAGGCCTCGGAAACACAGAGCTGCCCTTTGTGTGGTTTGCTGAATTACAGCAGCGCCCTCAGAAAAGGAAAGGTGGTCAGTGGGAGGGGGGGAGGAGGGGGCTCCGTGGGCAGGTGGGAGCCCATGGCGGAAGGCCCAGCGATCTGGAGGTCTATGCGCAGGGGAGAGTGGAAGGAAGGGGGCGAGGCCAGTTCCTGAAGAGCAGGAGGGGGGGGTCCTCTGCCCACCCCCCTCACCTGTGCAATCAGGGCCTTGTGCTTCGCCATGAGCTCGTTCAGGTCCTCCTGGTCCTCCTCGATGCGCTTGAGCAGGTCGGCCTTCTCGTGCTGCAGCTGGTACAGCTGTTCGTCCACCTGCACGAAACACAGCAAGTCCTCTAGGCGGGGGCTTCTCACCGGGGGGGGGGAATTTGGGTTAAGGTGCAATTCTCCAGTTCTGTACCAGGTTTTTGTTCCTGGTGGCCGTCTCCAGCTCCGAGTGCAGATTCTCCACCTCGAGTGAGAGCGTCTTCTGAGACTCCTGGGCTTCGGCACACCTGGCTGCGCTGTCTTCCCACTGGCAGAGCAGGGAGGAAAGGACATCAGGGGACCCCCGGACCCCCGACCCGGTTTTAAACAACCCTCTGTTGTTGCTGGTGTCCCCTTGGCTCTCACACCGCTACGTCCAGCTTTAGCCCCTGGTACAAGGGATCCCGGGGGGGGAGGCTTCCTCCTCCTCCCCCCCCCTTCCTGCCTGGGTGGTGGGAGCACCTCAGAGGAGGAGGAGGACTGGGGCCCCCCTTCGGCAGCCACACAGCTTCTTTCACAGCAGCTGAGCTGGAGAGCCGGGCTCATTAATTAGCCAATGAGGTGAACCTCCTCCAATTTGCAGAGATTAAAGCCATTCACAAGGCAGAGTTTATAAACGATTGTTTCCACCGGGTAGAGGAGGCCTCCGGGCTCTTCCGCTCTGGAACAGCCCCCTGCCACCCCCCCCAGAGGCCTGGCTGGGTAGCCCAAAGCCCCCCCCCTCCTCCTCCTCACCCGGTTTCCCTGTTTTGTCTTCTTCACTCCTGGCGTTTGCCAGCACCTGGTCTTGCCCACTGTGCCCGCTAAGCTGGGCCTTTGCTGCGCTCATGCACAGCTCCAGTCAGCCTTTCTCTGAAGCCTCCAAGCAATCCTTGTGCCCCCCCCCCGCTCTCCCCCACCCCTTATGGGGCCTTTGCCTGTTTGCTGACTGAAAAGGCTGAGTCTGCAGCTGAGTGTCTGTAAAGTTCAGTGGCCAAATTTTACCCTAAAACCAGCATCATCGGCTTTTTATGCGGAGGCTTCGGAGATGATAATTAAAGCCTCCCACCCAGGGGGTGGCTTTAACCAATATTAAATAACGGGGATTGAAAGAGCAGCAGAAAATCCTGCAAGGGGGGGGGACTCGGGCGGTAGCAGCCCTGAGCTGCAAGCAAGAGCATCCCTGGGTCAGAGGGTTTTGCACGGAACTGGCGAGAAGCAGCCCCTAGCGCTTGCTGGCCAAGCCTCCTCCCCATTTCCAGAGGGGAAAGACCTCACGGGGTCTTTCTCAAAGGAAGCTGGCCTCCTGCGTGGCCCTCTTGGCCCCTTGGTGAACCATGCCCAAGCAGCTCCTTCCTGTCCCCCAGGACTCTCCTGGAGGTGACTTCACCCTCCTTTTAATCCAAGAGCCGGTACGGCTGGATGGCCGTGGCCACGTCTCACCAATCCTCTGAGTTTTGTTTAAAGATTCTGCTTTCCAGTCTTGCTTGTCCCAATTGGTGAGGGGAAACAGATTTGGAACAACACAGAGCACTCTCATTCTGCACCCGTAATTCAGATTATAAACCCCAGAGCTCCTAATGTCTGATTGCCTCTCCTGATTTTGTCCCCCCCCCTTCCCTTTCCCTCCCAGCCCTTCATTTGTCTGTCCTGCTTCCTCCTTCCTCCTTCAAAAAAAAATTGCATAAATTTTTCCCATTTGGGAGCAAACAAACTGAAATTCCCATCAAAAATGATACATAATGTATGAACAGATCAAACGTGTTAAGTTGGCAGCACGCTACCATCTGTTCGATGCCTCTTCTGCCAGTTGACCAGGCTCCCTTCTCCAAAGGCTCCGTTGCTGGGGAGTGGGAGGAAGGCACCTCTGAGGGCTGGTTTTTAATCCTTGCAGCAGCCCAGGGTGGGGGTGGGGTGGGGGTGGTTTCCTTCACACACACACACACACACACACACACACACACACACTTTCCCTGCTGCTTAAACCGCCCCAGGGATGGTGGAAAGGAGAAACCGATCCCCCCAGGGGGGCCCTGAAATTCACGCCACTCTCATGCCCAGAGAACGAGGGGCTGCTGCCCAGGGCTGGGCCTGCCCCTCCCTCCCCGGCATCGCCTGTCTAGAGGGCATGAAAAGGGGACGATCCTGGGCATCAGCAAGTTGAGACTATAGAGCAACAGCCAGATCTATGGGGCCTTTCATCTCCCCCGGAGAGCCCCCCCCATGCCAAGCACAGCATCTTTCCAGTGCCTAAAGGGCAGCAGGGCAACAGCCCCGCCAGGGACCTGCAACTCTCTCCCCCCCACCCGCTTCTGCCAAACCAGGTAGAAACATCTGCAGTTCACAGATGCTGTTTACACAGAATTATTATCCCAATTACCAACGTCTGCGCTCGCTGTAATTGCTCGCATCTCCGGAATGGCGTGTTTTCGATGGAGACAAGCAAGGGGGATTATTTATTGAATGGTTCCAGAATGCTTGTGCAGCTAAATTGGAACTACTGTTCCTGGGGGTCCCCAGCCATGCCCCCCCCCTCCTCAAGACTGGCCACCTCCTTTTCGGCTTCTCTCCCACCCAGCCCTCGGCCCCTGGGCCCCTCCGCTCTGCCACCACCGCTGCTGCACTCGAAACCAGCAGAGGGGTTTTTGCCTCTCCACACTGGCCCCCTTCCTTGCTGGGGAAGGTTCCCAAGCCCTCCAACAATCCCACACCCTTCTGTCTGTCCCTGAGGGACCCCCGGACCCTTTGGAGGTGACTTTTGTGAGCCAAATTCTCCCCCCTCCACCCCACCCTCAGCTTTCCCCAGCAGCTACACCACTTACTTACACCAGGGCCCCCCAGCCCCCCCCCAGGACAGATGCTGAGCGCAAGGCTTGGTAATTACCACCCGGTAGACCAACACCAGTGAACACCCTCCATTAAACGAATTGCCTTAATTACGTTCCAAACACTCCGGAGAAAGCTTCCTCTCTACACTGCTTTAAAAGGGGATGAAGAGGGACCGGCTCAGGGTTCAAGTTTCAGCAAAGATCAGCTGAGCCGCCCTCTCCTCTCGTGATCTGTTGTGCTGGAAGAAGCTTGCAAAGCCTGGAGCTTTTAATTCAAGCTTAGGATTGATTCACGACCGTGATGCGGAGGCCGTCCAGGCAAAGGCCACAGGATCTCCGGCCACTGAGCCTCTTCCCGGAGGCCCCAGCCCTCACCTGGCTGTGGAGCTTGGCCCACTCCTCCTGGCTTCCTGATGGGCCTGGGTCTGCCCCGGAGGTCTCCAGCAGCAGCTGGACGTCAGCTAGCAAGGCGTGGGTCCTTTTCAGGTCACGCCGGAGTCGCTTCTCCACGTCGAAGTCCCGATGGCCAATCTGGAGGAAGAGGGGAGGCTTGTATTTGGGCCTTTGTGTGGGGTGCCCAAAGCAAAGAACCATGTCAAAAATGCTAGATGTTGTTGCATCCACTTTTTCTAAGCAAACGCTTCAACCACCTGATGCAGCAAAAGGTCCAGGAGAAAACGAAGCAGACCGGGAGCCTTCTCTGTTAATTCTCTGTTGGGGGGGGCTCCCTTCTGCATGGTGAAAGGGGCCCCCCAGATGCCACCCATGCCTGCTGTTGCCTTGTGCGTTTTTGCAGTTGGCCTGCAGAGTGTGTACCCTCTGGGCGCCTCTGCCAGGGTTGAGCCAAGCGGAGGACCCCCCCCCCCGTGCTGGAGGCGGGCAGCTGCCCTTCTTCCCTCACCTGCTCACAGAGGGTGGCCACCAGGCTCTCCAAATCCCGCTTCTCGCGCAGGAGGGCCTGCTTCTCCTCACACTCCTGTTCCCACTGCATCTCCAGCTGGCGAAGCTGCAGCCAAGCCAAAGGGAGACGTGAGGGGGGGTCACAGGCTGGGAGGGGAGACACACACCGAGACACCCCCCCCCCAGGCAGGCCCTACCCGCTTCTGGCAGGATGTGCGGGTGTCCTCCAGCTCCTCCTCCTTGTCTTCCAGCTCCTTCCGGTGAATCTGCTTCGCCCGCTCCAGCTGCAGCTCCAGTCTCAGGTGAAGCTGGAGGGGAAGGATCAGGGTGAGGGGGCGCAGATGTTAGGGTGGGCCTCCCCCCCTCAGCTGGCTTCCACTCACTCCGGAAAGGAAGACTGGCAGCCAAAGGGTGGCCAGGAGGGGCCTCACCTGCTCCAGCTGCTCAACAGCCTTTGTCTGCTGGCTCAGCTCCTGCTGCTGCTCCGAGGCCCTGGATTCGAGGTCCCACAGCTTCTTCTGCAGGGCGGCTGGGCCGCCGGCATCCAGGCTGGCAGTGTTGCTGAGCCCCTCCACTTGGGAGCTGAGCGCTGCGACCCGCTGGCCGAGGCCCTTGTTGTCCGACTCTTTTCGCTGGGGGGGGGGGAGGGCAGAAGAGAGCAAGAAAGTGGGCACTCCCACACTCCCAGTCCGGAGGAGACCTCGGGGAGCCGGCCTCTTCTGGAGCCCGGTCTGAGGTCCACGGGCCTTGCCACCTCACGCCAGCCGCCCACTCCTCGGGGCCCCCTCTCCGCTCTGCCCAGCCGGGCCTTGCCTCCAGGCTCTGCCGCACGCTGCCCAGCTGGAACTGCAGGCTGGAGTTCTCCTGCGCCACTTTCTCACGGAGGCTCTTCTCGAAGGCCGACTCCCCCAGCGCCTGGGCCAGCTGCAGGTCGAACCTGCGAGGAAACATGGATTTCGGGGGGTAGGGTCTGCGCTGGCCGGCCTTGGGTGCTTGGGAGCTGGTGGGGCTCAGCCCCCCCTTCCGGGGGCCACAGTCTGGCTGCTCCGCCAGCAAGGGAGGAACTAAAGTCACAGCACCAAGGGCAAAAATGACATTTTGGGCACACGGAATTAAGGAATAAACCCCGGAGTCGGTCCAGTTTTGGGGAAGCCCTGGAGAACACCTCCCACAATGGTCTCCCCTTCTCCTTGGACCTTGCTCACGAGAGAATCCTGCCATTATGGGGGGCGGAAGAGACCACACCCCCAGCCTCATTCCGTCCAATCAATACGCTTTTAGTATCGATGGCTGCCACTGCCTTGTTGAAAGAGCCCAGGGACTTCGGGGGGAGGGTCGTCCTGTGCTGCCCCTCCGGCAGACTCTTACTTCTTCTGCTTCTTCTCCAGTTCGTGGTTGCGGATCTGCTGGTTCTCCATCAGCACCCGGGTGTCCTCCAGCTCGCAGGTCAGCTGCTTGCACTTCCGCTTCAGTTGCTGGGCCGTCCGCCTGGCCTCCCCGTACAGCTGCTGGACCTGGCTGAGCTGTAAAGCAGGAAGGTCCCTGTGAAAAGAGGGGGGGAGGGCCGGAGAGCCGTCCCCTCTATGGCACACCCTGGATGCCAGACCACCACAGGGTTGCTCAGAAACCCTCCCAAGCTGCCCTGTGCCCTTGCGTGTCGTCCCTGGCGCGGAGGAGGAGTTTGGGTGCTGCGGTGTGACTGCGCTGGATTAGCGCTTTTGGTGGTCAAGCAGACTCTGACTTGGCACCAGGCCCCAGCCAGGCAGTGGTGGGGAGGCCCCTGTGAGGTGACCGAGTCCTGCGGTCCTCCTGCATTCCCACATGCCCGTTTACACCCGCGTTTGCCCTCTCCGCGGCCTGCCTTTTGCTCCACATCCGCTTTGGACTGCTGCTCCCGCTGCAGCCTCTCTTCCAGCTGGGCGATCCTTTTCCGCAGAAATGCAGTCTCGGTCTCTGCACAGTCCAGGCGCATCTGCCACTCGTCCCCTGTCGGTGCAAAAGGACCCGCGTTTGCACGGCCTGCCTGCCCCTGGTGAGCCTGGGCTGGACCCCCACCCCCACCCCCGCCCCCAGGGGCAAGGACCTTCAGCCAGCCTTCGCAGGCGGGTCCTCCTCGGAGGCGTCTGGAGAGAAAGGGAGCCGGCTGCCTTTCACGCCACGCTGGCGATAACCTTCCGTGTTGCACTCAGCCCGGCTCCCAAGACTTCCTAAGACGTCCTGACAGATCTGGAGCAGAAATTCTTCTGGGCGGCCAGAGGCGCCTGGTGGCTTGACTCAAACTGACATACCCCAACGCCCCCCAGTTGTCCCGGTGCTTCCCCCCCCCCGCCGGTCAAAATGACGGGAGAGACAGGTGTCGCTTGGGAGAACCGTCAGAGCCCCAATCTAGCAGAGCGGGGCCAGAAGCGGCCTCAAGGACGTCCTGGGATCCTTGCCCCACAATCCTCAGAGGCCAAAGCCAGTTGGGGCTTTGTTGGGGGAAGGGAAGGGCAGCACCCATCCACACCAGCTCAGGGCCGCCCCAGACCCTGCTGACGTGCTTTGGGGGCGGGGGGGGCTGCCTCCCACCTTTCGCAGAGCTGTTGGCCTCGATCTCACGGAGCTGGAGCTGCTGCTGTGTTTCGCCCAGCTGCTTTTCGGCCTCCTCCAGCCGCTTCTGGAGCTGGAGCTGCTTGCCCTGAACGGGAAGAGACGCCTCACATTATGAAATGGAAAGTTCCCGAGAGAGGCTGGAAACACGTCCCTTGGTTGGAAGATCCCCGGCTTTGAACCCGCTGCATGGGAGGAGGCCGTCTGGAGGAAGCCTGGGGCTGGTCTGGGAGCCAGCCCCCGTCGCCCCACTTCCTCCACTCCCAGGGGGCTCCTTCAGAGGGACCTTCCGGCCAAATTGCTCTGGGGCGAAGGGCTCTAGCGCCGTCTCTGCCCCCTGGGGAACAAACCTCCGGGAGGCTCCCTGTATGGCTGGCCAAGAAGCAGACCTTGGGCTGCTCTCTCTGGGAGGAAAAGGCAGGTCCAAGCAGGGCCTCCTTGTGGTGGGACTGCGATGCCTGACCCGCCATCCCCCCCCCAGAAATGGGTCAGCTCTGCTTCCTCCTCTCAGACCCCTTCAGCTGATTTTCCAGCAGCTGCTCCAGACTGAAGATGGAGAGCGAGGGGGTTCTTTGATCACCATTGGGGCTGTTTGTGTGTGGCCGTCTCCACTGGGCCCCATGGCTGCTTTCGAATGGCTAAACTCTCTGAGCTCAGCAGGCTTCAGCCCTGATGCAGCCAGGCTCCACTTTGAAGTCTCCCAGGGAGGCCAGTGGTGGGGAGGAGCTGCAAACGAAATGAACCCACCCCGGGTGGCTGGAAAGAAGGGCAGCTGCGGGGGGGGGGGGGGGGGGGGGGGGGGGGGGGGGGGGGGGGGGGGGGGGGGGGGGGGGGGGGGGGGGGGGGGGGGGGGGGGGAGAGTGGCAGGATGAGATTAGGGCTGCAGGGAGAGGTGGTGAGGATTGCTGGGGGGGGCAATTTGTCTTGGTGAATGGCAGGCATGGAGACCGCTGCCTGCCTCTCTGCGCCCATCAACCCCCTCCCCCACGGACCTGTAGCTCTTTGGCCTCCTTCGATGCCCGCAGCCTCTCGGCCCGTTCCGCATCCAGTACCCGGCAGGCCACGTCTCCTTTCAAGCGCTCGTCCGACAGCTCCGCCGTGAGGTCTATGACCTAAACAGAGCAGAAACAAGCGGTGGGAGGGAGCCTTCTCCAAGGACGCCCCCCCCCCCATTGCAGGGATACTTTGGTAGAAAGGAAACAAATAGGAGACTTAAGGAAAGCCACATATTGTTTTGTTCCCTGTGTGGATTGAGAGCCAAGAGAGACAGACAGACAGCCAGTTAGGGAGACAGACCGACCAGTGTTTCCCAACCTCAGCAGCTTTAAGATGGGTGGGCCTCTAGAATTCTGGGAGTTGGAGTCCCCCCACAATCTCGCTAAACCCACCCTGGCAGTGGTGCCAGCCCTCACAGTATCTGCTTCCGGAGTGGCTGCACAGCAATGACTGAGAGGCTGGCTGGGACTTGGGGAAAACCGGTTCCCATTCAGCTTGGGGGGAGGGGGGGAGACAGAGGGACCGCCTGCCCCTTTGGGCTCCCACCCGAGCTTTGGGACAGGATGCAGCGCTGGGATTGTCGCTTCGGACTTTTCCTTGCCTCACACAAATCCTCTCTGCAAGTTTATTGGAAACCTGAGACAATTTGATAATCTCCCGGGTGCTCAGGGCATAATGATAGTGTTAATTAATTAATTGCTGAAAAGAGGCTTTGGCGGGAACGTGCCAAACAACTGTTGTCTAATTCCCTGCACAGCCGAATGTGCCACAAACGCCTGCCAAGTTCGGGGCGGGGTGGGGGGGCAGAGGGGGAGGAAAAGCCTGGGAAGCCGATCTGGCAAAGCTCCAGCATCTCAGTGGGAAGCAGGGAAGGAGGGCCCAGCTGGCCCTGGCAGAGAGAGCGGGCGAGGGGCACGGAGCAGGCCGCCTGAAGGCTTTCAGGAGCGGACCCTCCTGCTCCCCCTCCTCTGCCGGCCCACCTCGAGACCAGAGCCAGAAAGACCCTCCGAGGTTTCTTAAAATGTGACCAGGGCAGTTTGCAAGCATTACGGAGCCTTTCCTTTCCCCCTCCCCTCCCCTCCCCTCCCCTTTTGTGCTACACCATTTTGCCACTGCTCTGTGCTGTTACCAATCTACCCATTGTTCTGGAGTCAGGCTTGATAAAGAACCTGACAGGAATGCTTTAAATAATAATAATAAAGCACAACTCTTTTGTGCTCCATAACCCCCTTTTTGAAAAGAGCCAAGTTAACAAGGACTCCAGGAGACCCCTGCCCAGTGTGGCGCTTCCATCCTGCAGGGCTGGATAAAAGGGGGCTTCTAAGCCTTTGAGGGTGGCATTTCTCCCTGCTGAATCCCACCTGCCTGCAGCAGAGGAACATGCCAAGCACCGAGGCAGGGGACCCTGGCACTCAGCAAGACCACGGAAAACGCCCCACTCCCACCCAGCGGATGGAGAGGCCGGGCCAGCCACCCGCCTGCCAAGAAAAGGGCCAAAATTGCTCTCAAGCAGACCTGGACCACGCCAGCCTCTTGGCCTGAACGTCTCACCCACACCGGCTGGCCCTTTGGGGCTTGGGGGGCCCAGATAAGGGGGCAGGGGAGGCAAGCTATGCTCAGCCTCAGGAAGATCTGGGGGGGGAGAACTCATCAAGGGGCAGGAGCAGGAAGACCCCGGCCCCCCCGAGACTGGTACTTCAGAGAGCAAAAAACCCCTCAGACTATTTATGCAAGAGCAGGAAAACCTGCCACCTGCTGAGTGGCCCAACCTCTGGGGGCAGAGCTTCTCCATGCTGGCACCATCACCACAACTGCCCTTTGGTGCTTCCACAGACCCTCCCACACTAGAAAAAGAGCTTCAAAGATTCCCCTCCCCCCAAACGCCGTGTTCACACGAACACCTCCAAGCTGGCAGTCCAAGCATCTCCTGGATCTGCCGATGCAGCGTCACGTCCTACCTTGGTTTCCAGCAATTCGGTGTTCTGCCGAAGCTCCTGGCGAGAAACCTCTGAATTTTCCAATTTCTTTTGGAGCATTGCAAGTTCCTCCTGGGAGGGAGGGAGGGAGGGAGGGAGGGGGGTTCTTCAGGGCTTATTCACCATCTGCAACCTTGAGTTGAGGACCACTGAACGTGGAGAGGCTGCCCAGGAACCCCCCCAAATGGCTGCCCGGAGGAGGGGGCCCGATGCCCATCGCCCCAATGAGAGGGAATGCTGCCGGGTCTGCGCTGGGCTGGGGACCTCAGCCAAGATATCTGGGGGTGCCAGGTGGGGGAAGTTGCTAGAACATCTTTTTTAGAGAACCGATTTAACTCAGGGAAAGCTTTCTGCTGTTATCTAAGGAAAAACAGGATTTGAGCCTTGACCGCTTTTTCTCCTGGCACCTCTTTGACTTGGAGCTGCCCTTCTGCCAGGCTGATGGTCAGGAGTGGCCGGATGCCACACATCAGCTGCCACCACGGCCAGCTCTGCACGGCTCGGTAGACGGCCAGGTTCTTCTGGATGCATCGGGCAGCCAGGCTCTGAATCTGAAGCAGGAGAGGAGGGATACCTCAGGGCCAAAGGATTCAGACCACCCCCAGTAGGAGCCCGGGCTGCCCAGGGGTCCCGCCAGCCGGCTCCCAGCGCTGTTGCCTGGGGGACCCAGACCAGAGAGAGACGGGATGGGAGCAGGAAGGGGCCGCTAGAGCCACCCAGTTTTCCTCTGCTCAGCAGGGGACTCTGCTGAAAGCCGCTCAGCCTCTGTTGGTCCTTTCCTCCACCTCCTCGGTCCCTGCTCCTTCCGGAATCCAACGGCCGCCCAGTGCGGCCCCAGGGCTGCCCACCGCAAAGCAGGGCTACCTTTAGTCTCTGGAACCTCTGGCGGGACAGGAGGCCCCTGCAGGCCGCCTGGAGCAGGACCAGGCTCTGGGACACCAGTTTCTCTCGCTGCTTCTCCAGCCGCGGAAGGACGCCGGCCTTCAGGAAGACCTGCCAGGAGGGACGGAGGGTGAAACCGCCCATCTGCCCACCAGGCAGGAGAGAGGGCCCAGGGCGGCTGGCCCCGGTACCTGAGTGTGGCCCAGCGCCAGGCTCTTCTTCTCCAAGTCGAGGGCTCGGAAGAGTTCCTCCAGGGCCTGCAGAGGGAAAGAGCACAAGCGTTCCTGCCAGCCCTGCAGGAGAGGCAGACATCTCAGGCTGCCCCACATCACCAGCCCCACAAATGGCCGGGTTGCCCCATCTTGACTGCTGGGCCCAACTGGCATCAGGGTCTCCAACGGCTACATTCAGCCAACATTGCACAAGCAGAGAGGCAGATTTTCTCTCTCTCCCTTTCATGGATCCGCAGACCCAGGATTGTTATGTACATAACAGGGGAGAAATTCGTCTCTTGGGGGCTCCTTTGCGGGGAGACTCTGGCTCAAAGCAGCCTCCAGTGTCACTGGAATTGACCTTGAGAAGTTTCCCTGTGCCCCCCCACCCCCCACCTTCCTCCTGCCACTCAGATCTCCAGAACTCAAGACCCCCCAGGGCGGACGAGAGAGTCCGAGCGCTTGTCGGACGAGTCTCCCCGTGGCGCAACGTGGCAGGCCTGACCTTTCCCCACTGTCAGGGGCCTCTTGTTAAGTCCTCAGCCTGAAACACACACACACCCCACACACGCTGACAGGATCCACGGGGCAGCTGCTTCCGCCACACAAGGCAGCCCACGTCCTTCCCAGGCCCCCCCCAGGGGGAGGGTGGTGATGGCTGGCTTTCCTTTCTTAGCGGCTGAAGCTACAGGGGCCATCGGGGCTCATCCCTCCCTCCCTCACTCCCTCCTCCGGGGCTTCTCCTCCTCTCCGGACCTTCTTCTCATCCGTCAGCTCATAGGCGGAGGTGAACCTCTTCATCTCCGGCTGAGCCAAGCCCTGGAAACGCCGCCGGAACTGGGCCAACTCCATGCGATCCGCATAGCCTGGAACCAAGGTGAAGTGCTTGGCACACAAGAACCGGCAACGCAGACCCCCCCCCGAGACCCTGGTGCCCCCCTCCCCCCAAGCCCCATCTTGCCCGTTCAGTTCCTCACCAGCCCTCAGAAATCCCGCCACACCCCCAGCTGGAAATTAAACGGGGGCGTGGGGGGCGAGATTGACAAGAGGGCCTTGCAGCCCCCCAGGCCCTGAGATCCTGTCCAACAGGGAAAGAGCTCCCAGGCCCCCATCCCCTGTCACTTGCCCAACGGCCTGTACATGGCTAGCTCTGGGCTGTCAGTTGCACGGCTTCTGCCTGATTTTATTGACATTATAGCCGTTTTTGAGATTTACGCTGCTCTTTTATTGAACTTCATTGTGTTTGCACTTATTATCTTGAAGAGTGCGCTGTCCTGGGAACCATGTGCTGAAACGCACTTTATAAATTCCCCCAAAACAAACAAGCACAGAGAAGTGGCATTTTGTCATCGCAAATACTAACAAGCTGCTCGCAACGTGAAGAGATTCAGGGCAGCACGAACCAGCAAGCCATGTGTGTGTGTGTGGGTGGGACAACTTAGTGTCCCCCAGTTCTTTGGAGACTACACTGCCCAGAATTCCCAGCCAGCCTGGCTGTTGGTCTCAGCTGCTTCTCGGCTTCCTTGTGTGATCAGTATCACAGCCAGCTTCCAGCCAAAACTTCCTCACTTCCTGAATCCGTCAGTCGCCTTTTGTCTAACCTGCCCCTCAACTGCCCTACCCAGGAAGCAGGGCCCCCCAGAAACCCTCCCTTCCGCACCGATTCTGTAGAGCCGCAGGGCCTCCAGGATCAGGCTGCCGGAGAGCTGGGCGCGCAGGGTGGGAATGTCCCAGGCCGGTCCTGGGGAGGCTTCCGAGGCCTCGGTGGGGGGCCGAGGCTCTCCTGGCGTCCCCGGGTCAAGGCAATGGAGAAAGTGGAGCTGAGACCGCTTGACCAGATTGCTGAGCGCGTCCTGCGGTGGGAGAAAAGTTGGTTTCTGAGGGGTCCCTCAGCAGTTCATCTCAACCGCAGCCGTGCCCTGCAGAGGCTTTGTTTCCAGGTGGCTCGACACGGCCCCCCCCAGGGGGGTTTTGCCCCTGTCTCTAAGGCCGTTCCGGGAGCTCCTGCACTTCCGAAAACTCCTGCTCAGACTGCTTTCTCCCTTGCCAACCACATTCACAAGTGGTTTCTGTGTGAAAAGACCTGTTGGAAGCAAAGGAGGGTCTCCCCCCCTCCCCCTCGCCTCGGTTCTCCCTGCCGGAAGCTGCCTTAGCAAACCGACCAGCCAGGACCCAAATGGATCAACGAGGAGCAATCAGGCGAAACTGGAAGGGGGCTCGCCCTGCCCTGGACGGCCCCTGCCAGGAGGCGGCCTCTGAGCCGGCCAGGCGCTTCGCTCACCAGCTGCAGCTTGATCTGGGCGCAGACCGACCTCTTCCTCACGGTGGCAAAGCTGCTGCTGAAGGTCTTCCTGACGCAGCCGATGCGCTGCAGGGCCTGCTGCGAGTGGCCCTCCCAGCCCGCCACCGACCGGCAGAGCAGGGGCACGTGGGCGCGTGGCAGGAAGACTTTCCTCAGAGCCCCTCTGTGGGGAAGAAAGGGGGGTCGTCAGCAGGAGCCCCCCCCTCGGCCTCCCCAAATCCACCCAAACGGGCACCTCGATTTCTCATTTGGCTCAGCTGTTGGATGGCGAATCCGACTCTCTCTCAGCCTGGCCTACTTTGCAGGGCTGTTGTGGGAATAGAGTCAGGGGGGGCGCCTGGGTCTTCTGGGAAGGGAGACCCACCCACCACTTAATTCTTGCCCTCCGGCCACCATTCCCCAGCCGTGCAGATAATAAGAGCTTGCTCTAAAAACGAGGGGCTGGTTTCCTCCCGCCCCCCCGTCCCACTTCAAATAAAGCTGGCTGTTCAGGAAAGGAGGTGCGGGAAACCCTTCCCGGCAAGGCCAGCTGAGGCAGGAGAAGGCAGGGCAGCCGGGCCCGCCCCCCCCCTCCACCCAGAGGGAGAGGCGTCCCACCCCCACCCCCCACCCTCACTCACATCGTGGACCGCTGCAGCAGCTGGATGGCGTTTTGCACAGAGAGGTTCCACTTGGCCTTGCTCACCCAGCCGGTGGCATCGTAGCGGACGGGGTCCTTGCCCAGTCGGTGGGCAACCTCAAACTGCAGGGGCTGCTCACACCTGCGCAGGACTCCCTGCTCTGCAGCGAAGAGACCGAGTAAAGCTTAGCTGCTCTGCCGGGGGGGGGGGGGGGCGGAGAGGATGAAGGGGCCAACGACACCAAGCAGTCTTTGCTCTACTACGGCCTGATTGGGCATGAAGTGGGCAGCACACACGTGAAGTGCCATTTGAAGGAGAGACACGGAAAGGCCCCAAAGCCGTCCTCTCTGAAGCATCCGGAGGGCAAGGCTGCCCCTTCTTTGGTGGGGCAGAGCCAGTTCAAGGCTCCCGAGTTGGGGCTGCCTTTGATGAAGGGAAGAGACCCTCTGCCCTTCCCGACGTGGCTGGCACTGACCAAGCTCTCCCCTTTGGCCTTACCTTCCTTCTCGAAGGCCGAGCACAGGCGGTCGAGGGCCCTGCTGTCACTGGAGCCCTGGACCAGGGACTCCTCATCCAGGATCCAGAGCAGGCCCTGGGGGCCTTCCGAGGGGCCCCCGGGAGAGAGGAGCATCTAAAGGGGGACAGACCGGCTCGGCTACGTGGCACCAGGCCAACCCCCCCATGCACGGCTTCCCCACCCGACTCTCCTGTTCTGCTGAGATTTGAAGCAAATTTCCTGTATTTTATTAATCACCCATTATTACTGATTTTAATTATCATTTATTTATCGGTGGCTACATATGTATTATTATACAATTCCATCTGTATGGGAAATATTACGTTTTCCTCCTAGCAATCTGCAGTTTTACAATTCCAGGTTGGAGAGGGGGGAGCAAATTTGTCACCTCCCAATAACTTTGTCACTGAAGGGCTGGCATCCTTGAGGTTGGGGGCAAAGGCCCAGAGCTTCCCCCCAGATGTGCTGTTCTGGGTGGGGTTTATCTTCCCCACCCTCCAACCCACCCACCCCTCACGCTTCCTGCCAGCCCTGCCCTTGGCATCAGGGTAGCTTTAGCCTGTCAATAGAGCCCCAGCAAGCTGCCGCCCTCCCCGCCAGCCTCTAAATTACCTGGGACGGGTCCTGATCTACCAGGGCCACCGTGGCGGCTGGGGAGAGTTCAGGCAGATCAAAAGGCACCTCAACGTTTTCCTGGGGAACATGGATGGGAGGTTGGGACTTAGGAGGCGGGTGGGTGGAAAAAGTCCCCTCTTTTGGGCTCTTCCCCACTGGCCCCCGTCTTTTCCTGGGGCTCTGAGTTTCCATGAACTAAAGGCCGCTCCCTCAACCTCTCCATGGCCTTTCCCCAAAGTCCTTCGTGAGGCCAATGTCCAGCAAGCCTCCGGGCAGGGGGTCGGGGGCCCTCGGCAGGAGACCCCACGGCCACCCGTCTGGGAGACCCTCCTGGGAGCAAAGCTGGACAGCTGAGGGAGCAGCAGGGCAGGCGCCTCACCTCCCGGTATCTGCCCACTTCGGACTCCAGGGAGGCCGTGTAGAAGAGCCCCTGCAGCCGCTCCTGCCCGTAGTTGTGGCAGAACTCCTCAAAGGTGGCCGCCCGCTCTCCCTTCCGGTGCCGGGGGCTGAGGAAGCCGGGGGCGTCCACCACCATCAGGGAGGCCATGGAGAGGTGGCTGGAGGAGAAGGACCTGCGAGAGAGGAGAACGGCTTCCCCGTTACACCCCATGCCCTTGGATGGGGCAGCCTCAGCCTCTCCCTCCTGGGCTTTCGCTGCCCCCTGGAGTAAGGCGAGCCCCAGTCAGGGGGCTGCAATGTGGGGTGGGGTCTGCCTGCTTTTCCCAGCCAGACTCTGAACACACCGGCGACCTTCGCCTGAATCCCGCAAAGTCACATCCATTATTAATAAGCAGCAGCCCCTCGCCTCCCATCCCCCGCAGCTTGCCTTTTTCCCACACCTGCCATAGGTGTCACAGTCCCCCCTCACCTGGAAGCCCATCGTCATCAGGGGAGGGGCCCCAGGCCGGGGGGGGGGGAGAAGGGTCTCTCCTGACTGGCCTGTCCCTCGTTTGTCCCCTATCACTTATGTGACTTCCTAATTAACTTTGGTTTTATTGGCTTTAAGGGAATGTCTTTAGTGGGATCAGGCACTCCGCCCATTGAATGGATTACTACCCTCACCCCCCCCCCAGTGCCCAAGGGGAGCCCACCTGTTGATCAGCATCACCACGGCTGCAAAGAGCTCCTCGTACAAACCAGCAGCCATGCCCTGCAGGCACTCCACCCCACTCAGCTTGGGTCCTGAGGAAGAAAAGGACTCGTGGGTGGAGACCCCCTCCATCGGGACCCCCAGCAAAGCTGCCCACAAGTCCCTGTGAAATCTGAGCACAGCAAAAGACATTAAGAATCCACTCAGCCCCCCCAAAGAGATTCCCCCCCCCGGCCTATCACCAAGCATAGCAGATTCCAGTTCTTATTAGAGGGGGCTTCAGTTTTGATATTGGCCTCAATAGTGGATGCCTCCAACCGAGATTTATTGCAGTCATTCTGGAATCCCCCTTTACCCACTGGCCCCATAAATCTCCCCCCCCCCCAGGAAATGGGTCTGGGCGGCTCCCACGTCTTTGATGAAAGGCCTTGCCCTGGACTGCTAAAGCCAGTTTCAGTCATCGTGCTCTCCAATGACATTTTCGCAGGACACTCCAGCTGTGGAGAAAAGCTGGGGTGTCCTACGAACACATTCTGGGAGAAGGCGATGATGGAAGCAGGTGGCCCCCCACATTTTTATTATGAAGCCATCAATATAGGAGAACTAAGAATTTAAGGCTTTTCACAGGTGTTTAGACACACCAGCCGGGCGATGGGGGGGGGGACAACCCACCCGCTCCCTTCTCTGCACCCGCCATCCCTCTCTGCCTTCCTGCCAAGCTGAATAATCCGGAGCTGCCCCAGCTGGGCCCTTCTGGCCCTTGGAGAGGGAGACCCCCCCTCCTCTTCCCCCACGGGAGGAGGAATCAGGCGCAACCAAAAGCAGGCGCCGTCTTGGCGAAGCTGCCAGGCCACAGGCTCCACGCCTCTCGGCTGCCGACCACCCATCCCAGTTTAGCAGCTGCCCATCCTGGCACTGGCCGTGCGAGGGAGGGGACGAAGCCCCCCCCCAGGCAGAAAGGCCCCTGCCTTCTCCTCCAAAGGGAAGGGGCCAGCAGCAAAGCAGCCCAGCAGGTCTCACCTGGCACCTGGTCCGGTTGCTAGGAGACCATCGGAGGCTTACTGGCTGCCTCCCAATTGGCAGCAGCCTTTAAGCAGCAGGGCCTGGTGAGACCCAATCCAGGCCTGGTGGCAGCAGAGCGGGCAAAACCCAGGCCTAATGCAGGGAAGGGGGCTGGACAGGCAGCTGGGGAAGGGGATTTGGCCCCGGGAGGAGCGGCCAGGCTGCCCCCTTCGTCCCTTTCTGTTCACGCCTCCAAACTGTCTTCCTGCCTGGAGGTAGCCCTCAAAGGCCACCTGTCTGCCTGTGTGTGTGTGTGTGTGTGTCTGCCTGGTGTCATGGTTCTGACGGACAGAGATGAACAAAGCAGAACTCGGGGACAGGGTGGACAAGCAGAAAGGATCAGGGGTCTCCCTGAGGAAACAAGAGCAGACCCCGTGTTGCAAAAGGTCAAGGCGCAGAGACTGGAGCCCCACCTGGGTCAAGGGGGCCTGTGAGGGCAGAGAGGGAGACCAAGCAGAAATCACACTGGGGGGGGGAAAGGCATATCAAAAACAGCGTGGGGCAGCCGTACCGTCCGATGGCTCCTCCAGGCCGGCTCCAGCGGTGACCTGCTCAAGGATCCGCTGCAGGTGGTGCTTGAAGACGGCCGTGGTCAGCTCCTCCGCCTCGCAGCCCAAGACATCCGCTGCCCGGTTGGCCCACTCGAACTTCAGGAACTGTTTCCTGCCCACTGGAGGAAGAGCAGGAGAGCCATCTAGAACCCACCCACCCCGTGGGATTGCCCAGCCCCCCTTCCCACTCCCCCGTCTTGGGAGGGGCTGGGACTGAGTGGCCCAGCCCTGTTTCAGCCCTTCGGCCACGCTGGCCTCCTGCCTTATGGCGATGCACCTGGCCAGGCTCAAGGGAGCCGCCTCAGAGCCTCTACAGACCCCAACGGAGCAGGGCTGTCCCTTCTGAGGGCCGCTATCCAAACCGAGATTAGCAGCAGGCTGGGGAATTCCCTCTGCTGAAGCACCCAGGAGTGCAGTGACTTGACTGGCAGCCCAACAAGGGTTGAGTCTCAGACGCCCTGTGATGCCCGCTGCCCACAGGGCCCTGGCTGCAGCTCCCCAATAGCACAACAGCCACAGAGGTTTGTGACGTCTTCACCATCTTGGCTTTCCAAGAGCAGCCGAAGAGGGACCATCACTGCAAGGGCAGAGCACCAGGGCCGGGGACCGGTGGCCAATTTCTGCTTGCAAAACCTTCTTTAAAAGGAGAGGGAAGCAGTCAAAGTTAATGGCTGCTCGGGTGAAATGTGCTAATGAGCTGCAATTTCGATATGGCCCCTTCGCAAGGAGAGAGTAGAATTACCCCGACAGCAGCCATTGGGTTTCCTTTGGCTCGCAGGGCCCACCTTCCCTCTCCGGCTGCAGGAGCGCTACGGATTCACCTGCCGAAATGGGGCTTGGCTTTGAGCCCCCCTCCCCTCTGAATCTGTCCTTGCGGGACCCTCCCCGACAGCCCTGCCTGAGGAAACACAGCCTCCACTTCCCGCCCACCCCGAAAAGCCCAGCTGCACAATGAGCCTTTTCTGAACCGCCATTTAACCCCCGGGGACAATTATTTCTGCTTGGCGGGTTAGAAAGAATCGGTCAATGGGCGAGAGGCGGAACAAGCCTGGTTATGAAAGCAGCAACCACGGAGGCAGGAAACCAGGCGGAAGCCTCCTTCCTCCGAAGGCTGGAGAGAAGGGAGGGAAACGGGAAGGGCCAAGGAACAAGGAAGGGAGATCAACAGAGAGGGAAAAGGCTGCCCCAGGGAGGGCAGAGGCAGAGGGGGACTGAGCCGTGGCTGGGGTGCCCACAGACCTCCCCAAGACCAAGCGCCCCTGGCGATGCAACACCCGTGTCAGCCAACGAAGGAGGCCTCAGCAGCCACTCGAGAGGCCCAGCCACGGCAGCCACTTCCCAGCCCTCAAAAGCGAGGAAAGAGGAGTCGCTCCAGGTGCCCCATTGCAGCAGCTTCACTGACGGGCCCATAACCTCCGGCGCCTCCCGCCTGCCTCCGATCGCATGGAAGCCTCCCCCTTCTTAACCGGGAGCCTTGCTCCCCACCTCCACCTGCCGCCCTGCTCCCCACCTCCACCTGCCTCCCAGCTCAGTTGCAAAGGCCTCTGAGCACCGGCAGGGGCCACATGCGCAAAATCCACCGGAAGGACTCTTCTGCTGAAGTGGGCATGAAATGGGAAGGCCGGAGTCCCATAGCCGCCCCCAATTCGGGGTCCTGAACTCCTGGCCTTCAAAATCAGGGAAGGGCCAACTAGGCCACAATGAGAGGCCCCGAGGGCCCCCCCAAAACGAGCCAACAATGCTGTGCCTCTTCTAAAACTTTCTTTGCCTCGATGGAGACGCTTGGCAGGGGCGAAATGCCTGTGCCTCGTGGACTGAGGCGCTAACTTCCTAATTTCTTAATAATTAATCATTGATTCATGGGTGAAATTACCCTGAGGCGCAGTGCATGCTAGGGAGACGTTTATGAATGGAGCCCCAGCAGATTCCCCGGCCCTGCGTGTGCCTGTCTCTTTGAGAGGGAAGTGCATAAATCGTCAGGAGTGACTGCAGGAGAGCGGGTGGGCGGCCTTAAAGAATTTATGAGCAACTTCACAGCTTCTCACTCTCTCTCTCTC